AGGGTAATTTAAATCTTAAACTTGAATTTGTTATATTTTGAACCCTAATAATCAAACATGAGATAATATAATCTCTGCTATTAATTTTAAACAAACACTCCTTGTTTATGGGCTCAAAAATTTTCTCTCTGTCCCTCTCTCATTTTGTCTCTCTCCCTTTTCACCTGCCAAGCTCATTGCAAGTTGACAAATGATGCAGAGGAGAAGGAAGAAGCAACAGAATGTAACCCCTACCTTCTTGACCTTATCCACCACAGTCTATAGCAGCCAAAGGAGAATGAAGAAGGAATGCAAAAGGTGGAAGAGGAGGATGAACGACCTTAGTGGCAGAGAGAGAAGGAATAAGAAGAATGTCATCATTATATATTACAAAGCAAGGTACAACCTAAGTGTTCTATATGTTGGACCTCATGCATCATGCATCACTTTTAACTTGTCTTTAAACTATCTTTCCTACAATACACAAAACTTAGTGTATTTCAATTTACTTGTGATTGATGATAGAATAGCATGAAACCATATCAAAATGGCAAAAAAATAAGAGTTATATTAACAAATATTTTCATATCCATCATGTCATCGACATGTTGTTTATAAAAAACTAATATACCCTAACAAATGATGACCTCAAATGCATTATTGGACTCTAGCTCAATGAGCAAAGCCAAGAGCTCCCCCCTCTTCTTCTTCTCTTATCGTAATCTTACTAGCCCATTTTTTACGAGCTATAATAGTCTCTTCGACAATCTCATAGACAAAATGAATTGAATACCCTCTTATAATCTTGCTCTAGTTATTATCGAAGTGCTAATCTTAACTGCATGGCTAGGCAAAGCCATAATGGGAGGTTTGAATTCACATGCATGTTATGCGAGATATGGGTATATCCTTCATGATATGCAAGAATTGGAATTTATTGAATTTTGCCTATGCTTATCTTTGTTCTTTGAATAGAAAACAAAGGTGGAATACATATAGAATTAAGGAAATTTAAGTATACACAAACTCCTTTAAAAGACATCAACTTAATGAGAGAGATGAAGCCCTAGCCCACCTTTTTACTAAGGAAATCCAATAGGTCCACTCATTGATATGTAAAGGCTATGATATTGAATTACAATATGCTTGAAGAGAAGTGCTAAGCTGTGTGAAGGCTAACATCTCACTTTTTCATTTGCCTTTAAATGTTCGTCTCCTTATCTTTCACGCTACTCCTTTCCCCCACAATTTGTTTATTCATGTAAATAATCTTAAAACATTAAATACAATTCTTTTCACAGTTCCATGATCATATTTTTTAATGACATTATTATTGAAATTTTAAAGTGAACAGTGATTGTAGTTTATTATTTTTAAAAAATATTTTATATTTATTTCGCTAGTTGCGATGTAGAAAGATTTTCATTGATCATAATCTTTGAACTTCTCCATTCTTGCCTTCCTTCTTAATTTGACCCCATCGGAGACATGACATAGGTGATCAGAGGGGCATGGTTGATTGGGGGCAGAGCTTTTTAAGGTGATACAAAAGCTTAAGAATAAGGTTGAAATAGTTAGTGTTAGTGGACTTAGAGAGAGAAGGGATGTGCTTGTGGTATTAACGTCGAAGGGAGGGAGGCTATTAGGGATGTAATGCTTTACTTATCAACATTCCTGGTCAATTTGAGGTTTATATATATATATATAATTTGTTCTTAACTTTCAATTTCACATACCAATGCCTTCAACAAGAAGACTCTCCAGGCAACCTTCAAGGTAAGAATCATCAACATCAGGAAGACACGGGTCATGTTTCACAACTTTTTCCTTCTCCTCGTTGTTATTTATCAGCTTGCATTGAGCTTGGTAAGTGAAAAGGGAGAGAGATGAAGTGAGAGGGGAAGGGATAGGTAGGTGGAGAATTTGTTGGCCCACACACAACTAATATTTGTTTAAAATCAACTATAAGGGTTAGATTTTTTCACACTCAGTTCGAAATATATAAATTATGAACTTAAGTTTTAAATCGTCCCTAAACTATAATTTAGGATTCATATTATCATTTAACTTTAATACTAAATACCTAAATCCTTTCTTTTATCCAATATGTATGACACCCTAGTTTTTACAACACATTTTTCCAAAAATCATTAACGTAAAAATTTGTCAAGATTTTTTTTTTGGACAATTTTTTTTGTCAAGATTAAACATTGAGATCCCAGAAATATGAACGAATAGGCCCATGCGATATGAAGCCCAATAACATTGGCCTACAAGCCTAGCAATACAAAAAGTCTAAACAAGAAAAATCCATAGCATGATCAGGGTCCTAAGCTCATTGATGGATAAGGAAATAAGTTCTCAAAGCCAGTTATAGAAGTTCACGATGTTCTAGGCCATGGCAATAAAACCAACAAAAGCATACATGCCATGCTTGAAGATAATTAAACGCACACGCTCAATTCAAATTACTTTTGTTTATAAGCTTGAAGTTATGAAAACATGAAATAGAAAAAATAGCAGGAGATCATGGATTCAATGAAAGTTCCAACATAACAAAACTAAGGCAAGTGTGGTAAGAAAGATCTAGACATGGGTATTTGAATCTAAATTTAAGATGTCACGAAGGGAGAGAATGTATGAGGAAAACATGCTTCCATCAATAAAGTGAAGAAAATAAATAGTCTATCATTAGTGTTGTAACACTATTTCTTAAAAAAAAAAAACTTATATGCTTATCCTTATATACTTAATTTATTTTTAATTAAATCAAGACATGTAGATTTTTTATAAATTATTTATTCTATAACAAACTCTAATTATTAATATTACTAATATATTAAAATTTACTTGTCTTAAATTAATTAAATAAAAACATATTAAGTATATAAAATTAGATATTTAAATATTGCCCTTATTAAAATGCTAAATATGGAGAAGATACGAATAGGACATGGAAAAAATTATTGTATTATCAACCCTCCGGAAAAAAAGAAAAAGTTAAGCAAAGAAAAAGCATTAGGAGCTGGTGATTCGAGGGTGGGATTCCAGTTCCTCCAATCTGGTCCTGAACACCATGACACTCACCGCCATTTTCAAGGCTGTAGGCTTTCTGCTACATGTTCTTATGTAAAACAAAATAACTCAATCAAAACAATGCGAGCTTCAATTTTTTTTTTTTTTTTCTTTTGGGTACAATGCTAGCTTCATTTTGTGGCATATATAAATGAAAAACTTTTTTCACCCAGAAAAAGAAAAACTTTTGTGCACGGGAAACCAAAAGATCAGCGCATGTCCAAAAGATTTACGTTATCGGTAAAAACGATTAAGAGACAATAAACTGTTTTTTTTTTTTAATTAAGAGACAAGGATCAATAATCACGTTATCGGTCCTTGGAAGCCGGCTATGGGACCAATAAGAACATGTTATAGGCCTTGTGAAGCCGAAGGTAGTCCACTTTATTTCCAATAACACCCTTGGGAAAAAACTAACAAGATCTAAATTCAACATTACAGGCTACTCTTTTATAATATAATAAATTACTATTTAAATTCTCTTTAAAAAAGACATTTATATTTAATACCCGAAAATATTTTTAATTAAACGATGCATGTAGGCGACTAAAAAAAATAGTTTTTTGATGAAATATCAATAATTAAATAATTTTTTATTTAAATTTTTTTAAAAATAATGAAAATCATAAAATTATTTTAAAATCTTTTTTTTTTATTAAAATTGTCAATTTTTGCCAGATAGTTGTTGATGAAATTGTTCATTTAACGACTAAGCAATGATAATTAACAATTATTGAATAATAATTGACAACTTCAATGAAATGCGTGAAATTTTATAGTAATTTTATATTTTCAAGAGATTTTTTGTATTTTTACTACTTGTACGAGATTTGTGAATGATTTTTCCTAAATGAAATGGAAAACTGGATAATTGATTCTTAGTGAGTTTTTAAAGCATAATTATTCAGTGTTCATTACTCGAGTGTTCTTTGTGAACCTCACAGCCACATAAATTGAAATTAGTCTTGGACGAGCTGAATCTAATGTTATGTTGTGTTTATATTTTCAATGAATTTTTATTTTCATAAAAGCTAAATTTAAAATGGAAATAATCTTCTAACTGTCATTTTTTAATAAAATAATTTTGTTAGTTGAAAATGGATGTTAAAATTTTCAATCTAGCCAATTTAGATCTGACCGCAACAATAAATACTGATATCCATTGTTGGAATGAATACCCAAAAGGATGTTTAGATCTTATATTTTCAAACTTTGGATTTAGTTGTCGTCTCTTGCATTATTATTATTATTACTTTTTTTGTCAAATAGAAAGTCACCACACCTTTTGTTTTTTTACCTCAAAGTCACCACCGTTTTGACTCCTTAATAATATAATAATATTATTGTGCGTCGCCTAGTCAGCTCTCTCGCTATCTCATCAATAGCCATGTTGGCGTCTCATCTAACACCGTGCTTCGCCATTTGAGGGCGTGTCTGGCAATAAATAAATAAATAAATAAGTCAAACTAAAATTACCTTTGATCAGAAGCAGTAACTTGTTTCCAAGCATAGAAACAATGCACTCGTGACTTATTTTTCCTTCTTGTGAATTTGTTTGTCATGAAATGCAAAGGAATGAATTTCTGACCTTTTCCCCAACAAAAAATAGAGTCACGTTATTTATGATTCATAAATATTATAACTTTCCACACTTTTTATATTTAAATAACGTTTAAGGGCTAAAATACACTTCTCAAGGAAAAGTAGAATGAGTATTTCAGTTTGGCCGAAATCATAGAATTAATTTTAAAATCGGTGTAAAATAAATACTGGGATTGAAGACTTGTAATTTTATGAGAATTTGTTTAAATCAAAATTTATGAATTCATTTTATAAAAAATCAATTAAATTCACTATATATATATATATTGAAATTAATGTCCATGATTAAATAATATAGTATGGCCAGAGGATCAATGCCTTTTTAGTGCTAACCATTTCAAGTCACACGATTCAACGAAGGGGAGGAGGGGAAGATCCGGTTCGGAGCTTGTCCAATCTTGGCGGTCGGAGTAACGAGCTCATTCGCTTGAAAGAAGCGGAAACAGATTAAATAATGGTTTCTGGTACACAGTCTTCCCTCTTCATCGCAGGTGAGGGATACTGAGTAGTGCGAATACTGAATACTGTAAATCTTCCATGCCTTGCGCACGCTGCTTTCTCTGTAACTTTTCTTTCTATCACTTCACACTCACAGATTTTTTGTTTTGGTCCAATTTTGCAGACTCCGTTTGAAACCCTAACTTCCAATGGCGATCGCTTCTCCCTCGACTCCGAGCTTCTCACCTTCTTTCTGCTCCACTCGGACCCAATTCACTGGCCTCTCGCGCTTTCCCTTGGTCACCTTGCCTCAGTCTCGTGCAAACCAAACTCGCTCTTTGACTCGTCGGCTTGTCGTATCGTCTCGGCTCAATTCGTCTAAATTCTCCGATGCTGATGGCTTTGTCTCGCCGGGCAATGGAGATTTCCCCTATGAACTCCAACACGATTTTTCACCTCAGCGTCAGAGGAGGGGATCGCCGGTATACGTCACGCTCCCGTTAGATGCCGTGGGCTCGGAGGGGCGAGTGCTGAGGCCGAAAGCTATGACGTTCTCGTTCAGGGCGCTCGCAATGGCTGGAGTAGAAGGCGTGGTCTTAGAGATTTGGTGGGGCTTAGTTGAGAGGAATGAGCCGATGGTTTATAATTGGCGAGGCTATTGGCAACTCGTCAAGCTGGCCGGGACGTGCGGCCTGAAGGTTCGAGTTGTCCTTGCGTTTCACCAGTGCGGCACGGGCCCTACTGATCCTAATTGGTAAGTATTCATTGACATGATTCCACTGATAAGGTCGTGGTGTATCAGGACTTGCTATTTATTTAAACGACGTTTCTATGGAGATTCTAAGATATAAATAATAAGGTGATTCTATGATATCTGATGGAATTACAACTGTGTAGTCATCGGTCTGAATACTTTGGATTTTGATAGCAATGAATATGGGAATTTGGGATAGTTTTGGTTGAGGTTCTTTATTCAAATAGTCCAACATCTCTCCGGTCGTATGACAAACTTGAATATATTTTGGTTTTTATCTGCATTACACTTTGTTTACTGAAATTCCCTGGCTCATGCTGCCAAGAGGGATGGTTACTTTATTAGCTGAGTATGTTTGGAGACAGGGAAGCAAAGCATGACCTGATGAAGTCTATCAGATTCTGTTGCATCTGGTTTGTAGTCCATGTGGGCAATTCAGTGCTATTAAATTTATCGGTTTAGAGAGCACACCCTATAGCTATTGCCCTTCTTGGGGAGTAGTTTCAATGCTTATTATTGAACCACTGCATTGATTAATTTTCATAGTTAATATGCTCTTCTTCAGCTGGAAGAAAAGGGAAACAGTCAAACAGCGAAGGGAGAAATAAAATTAAGTATTGACCGTTCACATTTTTATTTTCCGTCGTTTGGCCATTTTTATAATTTTCTTATAAACGATCCATTTTGGTGGTTGTTCATCATCTGTCACAAAGACTGGATCTTGTAAATCTTTAGATTTTAATGTCTGATTGACAGATAATTAAATTAGTATTTAATAGTGGGTACTGGATAGGAAGGCAATAACCATAACCCAAAGCTTTTCAATCTGATGTTGTATGCCTGCTGTTACTGGGGCAACTGTGATCTTGAAGTGGATTGTTTTAAGGTCTACTCTTGCTGGCAACTACTTTCAATGCCCTTCCTTGTTTCCAAGTTATGAACCTTAAACTCTGGAAGTTTGTCCCCTGTGTAGGATACCTCTTCCTCTATGGGTACTTGATGAGATAAAAAAAGATCCAGAGTTAGTGTATTCAGATAGGTTTGGGACAATAAGTACTGAATACATTTCACTTGGATGTGATACACTTCCTGTGCTCTGTGGACGATCTCCAATTCAGGCATATGCTGATTTTATGAGGAACTTCAGGGACACCTTCAGGCCTTACTTTGGCAATATCATAACAGTATGCTTCTACCAAAACACTTTGGGATGTTAATCTGACAAAAATTGAGGTTTTCTCCTATTAGGATCAGGTGCTCATTATAGTTTGTTCATTTTGCAGGGAATACAGATTGGTATGGGTCCTGGTGGTGAATTAAGATATCCTTTATGCCCTTCCCAGTTAATCCATCCTAGGCGCAGTGAATTTGGAGAATTTCAGTGCTATGATAAGGTTGATTGAAAAATTAGGCTTCTGCAGTTCTGCTGTAAAAGTTTTTGGGTTCTAGTTAACACATTTATGAGGTCTGGGTAATTTCGGCATAACTAACTCACATGCATCATCTTTTTTAGTTTTTCTATTTTTTTTTTCAGGGTCTTGAATCATCCTTGTTTTCAACATTTTTAATTGACCGTCATTCCTTTTTTCTTTCTTCCCTCTCTCCTTGGCTACCTGTCAGTATATGATTGCATCACTAAATGCTTGTGCGAGAGATATTGGAATGCATGCATGGGGACAAGGTCCTCCTCATGGCACCGGAAGTTTGAGGCACAATTTGTTTTCTACTAGTGATTATGGCCCTTGGAACTCGCCACAGGGTAAGTTTTTTCTTGAGTGGTACTCGGGGATGCTGCTACTGCATGGAGAAAGAATTTGTAGGGAAGCTGAAACTATATTTAGGGGTACAGAAGTCAACATATCAGCAAAAGTGGCTGCTATTCACTGGCACTATCTGACTGATTCCCATCCATCAGAGTTAACCGCAGGATACTACAACACTTCTGAGAGGGACGGATACTTACCTGTTGCTCGTATGTTTAGTAAGTATGGATTTGGCATGTGCTGCTCATGTTTTGAAATGCAAGATGCAGTAGAAAATAAGATTAACCCAGTTGGCAGCCCTGAAGGTTTTCTCAGACAGCTGCTGTTGGCTGCCAGGCTCTGTGACATACAACTGGAAGGTCAAAATTTTTCATCCAATTTCAATGACATAGCATTCGAGCAGGTGTTGAAGATGTCAAAGTTTTACGCAGAAGGGGTTGAAAAGCGTCCCTTCTCTTTCAACTTTGTGAGAATGGGAGGGAAAATGTTTGAATCCCGTTTTTGGGATCGATTTACTCGTTTTGTGAGGCAAATGTCAGATGGGAATAGCTTTCGAGCCAGATTAAATTCTGTTGGTGACGTGCGTCTTAAGTCCTTTTCTGGGGTTGCGGAAGTTGGACTGTTGTACCAGCACTGTTAAAATCAAGTTCCGTCTGCTGATATCAAGGTAAATTTTGCTGTAACACATCATTGGATGCATATAATCCGATGACCTCAGATATAGTGTCGTGAAATGTGTATTGTCTAGTAAATGCATATTCTTCTCATGGTTCTTCAATTGCTTTGTCGCAAATAGTTGCTTTTACGAAGTATCGATTTACATTACCCTCCTGATTTTGTAAAAGGGGGGAATATTATTCATCAACTTGTTCCCGCATTGCAAATGAGTTTAGATAGAATATTGAAAAGAGTCTTTGTAATACTTATGCTACATATAAAAGCATAACCTCCCAGCTTCTCAGCTGTTGTATCTTTCTTTCCAACTGGCTGGACCAACTTTAGGATTTGAGGATCAGAATTTCAATTATTGTCTTTTTTGTTTTTTGTTTTTTTGGCTCTTGTCGAACTGTATCCAGGTAAGCTTATATTAACTTATGTACATACTATAATATGCTCACCGGAATGATAAAGTCAGCTAAAGCAGATTCTTTTCCTCATCTGATCTCAGCAGTCAATGTCCTGCGGATCCCTGGGGATCTTATAACCCTAGCGAATGAGGTAAAGTAATTGAACCTATGCTTCTCATTTATACATATGTCCTGTACTCCTTTCTACGTGAGAAAGATCAAAGGCGTGTTTTGATATCATTTCAGGGGATGATTACTAGTTACTACCTTTGACCTTTTTTTTTTTTGGGCCAAATACTACCTTCGAGCTTATTTGCAAGTAACTCTAGCATGTTTTATAATATAAGGTTAAAATGTATATAGTCTTTCAAAACTTTGAGACAGTTGTATATAATTTTCTTCCTTAAACTTTGATCTAATTAATGACTTTAATTGAGGGTAATTTTAAAATTTTAATTGAAATAATTAATTTTAACTAATTTCATTAATTTACATAAAGCTGTTACTAGGGGAGTATTATGTTATGAAAGGGGAAATTTTTAGGCAAATTGGGTGCATCACGTCATTTTTTGGTTTGTTTAATTAAAATGTTTTAAGTTATCTAAATAAAATTTTATGTGATATTATTTTAATTAATTTTATTCTTATAATAAAATGCATATTTAATTTTTTGCTTTCTCTCTTTACTATCATTAATATCATAATTAATTTATATTTAATGTTATCTGAATGTGATATTTTTAGTTATATAGGCCACATAGTGCATTTGGTTTATCTAAAATTTTTTTATTATAAAGGTATTATGATTTAGATTTATATTGCTTTAGGGTCTAAGAATATAATTCTAATCTCGAGAACGGCGCGCCTTGATTTATCAAATTCTTCTTGTCCTTTATATATATATATATATATATATATATGTAGGATTCCTTTATTATAAAATTTTTGTGCGTATATATGTACATGTGGGAAAATAAGTTTCTTTTATACTCTTTACATTAAAAAATATAATATATTATTAATTGAATCTCACCCTTAATTAAATAATTATTTATTTTTAAATTAATTTTATATTTTTATATTTATTCTTATTTAATGTAGTGTCTCATTATAAAATAAATATAAAATAATTTTTTTAATAGGAATATTTTTTTAAAAATAATGATTATATTTTAAAAAATTAAAAATATTTTATATTTTTAAACATTCAACTTTTTAAAAAATATTTTATATTTTTAAATAAAGTGAATATCTCTTTAAAGTTTTCAACCTTAAGTTGGTAATTATTAGCAAGACTAATAAATCCGAACCCTATTTGAGGTAAAGTTAAATGAAGGATAAATCTCTATAATATTTGTTATTATCATGTGCATTATTCTATGGTGTTTTATATTTGTAAAAAGCATATTATTTTTGTGATAATTTTTTTTTACCAGCCATGTGACAAAATTTGGCCCGTTAAATTTATGAAAATTTGGCATATTGAATGTATCAATAAAATAATTTAAGTGAACGGATAAAATTGTACAAATCTAGTAGTACATGGGACAAAAGGCGGCATGGAAACATCTTATTGATTGCACGGTGGACATTACAGATAAGCAATGTGCAATGATATGACAAAATAGGTTAATCAATTTAATTAGCTGTAATGAATGCTTTGCAAAGGGAACGAAACGGCGAAGTTAGTAAGTCAACTTCATGGTTAGTGCTGTGGGGCTCCAAGATGGGACCACCTTCATCCTAGCATTTTCTATCATTAATCATTCACATTAATGTAGTCTCTAGCTTTTTTTTTTTTTTTTGGTTGGTTATACCTTAAAAACCATGAAGTTTGTAAAAGTTAACAATCCATGCATGACTTATCAAAACTAGAGGTTTCATACATCACGTGAAACCTTGTAAACTGTTTCCGTTGTGTGAGAGTAGAATTGAACTTGACATTCCTGTTGATATCAAATAACAGAAGATTTCTTGAAGACAGCCATGTACTTGACAAATAATGTGGTATTATCAAATACAAAACTCAGTTTTGAAAAGCCTCCTATGGAACCTGTAATGACGAACACTTTTTTTTTTAATTCCCATATTTATTGCTTCAAAACACCTTAGCCAAGAAATACTGTGATTCCGGGATGAGTTCTGTTCTTCCAATTTGACTAGGTATTCTATTTAGTTTGCAAGTGTATATCCCCTCTTATAATCATAATTAATTAAATAATTATACAAATCTCGCATGTTTCTTTTGGTCCGACAAGTAAGAAGGAGAAGAAAAGAAAACATGATAGATAACAGGAAGAATTTCAATAAAGATTGCTTGACTACATTTGTTTAAATTCAAAATTTTTAAATTTTTAAACTTATACTAAAGTTTAGGAGTACTAATTTGATATTAAATTTATGAAAAAAAAATAAAAAAATTACCTCTAATTTAAATTAATATCATAAATTTTCTATTTCACTTGTCAATTTATTTATGAAATATTGTTAATTGTCCCACTTAAATTATTTTCATTTTAGGTGTTTAAATCATCTTAAGACAACTTATTAATTTTTATACTTTGTGTTGTTTATTTACTCACGAATTGTTATTCATTACCTTAATTCACTTGTTTATTGTTAGACATTCACTTGATTTTATTTTTGAGAAATGAATAGGTAAAATAAGACAATTAACAACATTCTATGAGTGAATGAGTAAATGAAGTAAGACAGTTTTCATATTAATTTAAATGAAGAGTAATTTTATCATTTTTTTAAAAAAAATTTAATATTAAATGAAGACTGCAATAAAATTTTAAAATTTTAAAGACTTCAAATTAAAATAAGTGTAATCAAAAGGTTTTTTTTATTGAAATTCTCCGTAGATAAAAGATGGACTAGGGATATTTTTTTCACTTAACATGTCAAACAAAATACTTCAATTCCTATCAACAAAGGTTTTCGCTTTTAGTATTTAATTATATTTTAAACATAGTTACCTACAATAAAAAGATATTTGCCGGGCTTGGGGGGGGCTCCAATCATTACTGTATTTTTCTTAATTTATTTATCTATTTCCTTCTATTTATTTGTTTCTCAATTTTTTAACAAAGAAATCATATTGTTGTGTATTGTCCAAAAAATAATCTTAATGATTGCGTAACCTGTCAGGGGGTAGATCCAGGCTCCAGCTGTCTTACTCGTTAAAATCAGCAGTTTGCATGACTACCGCACGAGTACATATTGTAAGCTCATATATCATATATGTATCATCAATCTTTTTTTTTAATCAAATATATGTATTATCAATCTCAACGTGCACTTAAATACAAATTATATTTAACTTCCAGCGTGCAGTTATTATTATAGTGGCATAAATTAAGCTAGGATCTGTCTATTTAATTGCAAAAGGGATAATAAATGCAATACCATGATTGCAAATGTTCAGCTGCATAATCTATTAATCTCTCTGATCTAAAAAAAAAAAAAAAAACTATGAATCTCTAATATCGACTTTGGCTTTTTAACACGAACTAGGGATCACTTCGCGTTTAGGGGAAATAAAACTTCCTTAAAAAATAAGTGAATTGTTTCTGCTTCATTCATTCAATAAAAAAGTTGAAGTTTCATGGAAGTTTGTTTTCTTTTTTGTTTTTTTTGTAAGGGGGCCAAGGAGTTTTAGAAGTTGAAACTTGAAATAACTTTCTTAGTAAAAGTAGGACACAGCATAGCATGCATCCTAACTCCTAAGTGCCTGTTTGTTTTGCGTCCAGAATCAGTTTTTTGGTGTTTGATCGATTTTTAAAACAAAATTAGCCAAACATCCTATAATTACCATAATCGACTTAACATGCTAAAATCAATTTTTTTAAAGCTATTCATACCTGTTTCTGGTTCTCATTTACCATATTAATTTGTCAATATTTTATAACTGTGTTAAATAAAATTTAACAAATTTAATAATATTATATATAATTTATTAATAATTTAATTTTGTATGATAATTGATTATTGAGCTAAAATTAGGTTTTGAAATAAGCTTTGGGAGGTTGTTTACATATTCAATTTTACTATTAAATAGTATATTTTACTTCTTAAATAAATTTTAACAAATTTATTAATATTAAATACAATTTTATTAATTATCTAATTTTAAAAAGTAATATTTTTTATGATAATTTATGCAGTTAAAATTAATTTTAATATTCAAACATATTGTGTTATAACATAATCAATTATAATTAAAATTAACTATATTAATCAATTATTTTTATAATTAATTACATCCAATTGAAATTGAAACAGGCACTAAGTGCTTTATGTTAATCAAAAAATATATTCTAAAGTTGAACCTCTAAAATTTAAAATAGAGATATTTATGTCTTTAATATTAAAAATCAGTATATCTATTTTAAAAATATGTTTAACTTTTTGAGAAATAAAATATTAAACAAGCGATGCATAAAATTTTTGAGAAGTTAATAACTTTCAAGGAACCCGGATAATCTTATAACTTGATGTGTACATAATCACTTTATAAAGTGTAAATGTAGCTAAATATTAATTGTTCACATCCGTTTGTGACTGTGTGTCTCTCTCTAATAAACAAATGCAACTAAATCCGGAATGATATCATTATTAGTTGAACAATAATTGATGTTGATTTGCCTTTTACTTTACTGTTCATTTTATGTATTGGAGGGATGAACGTTGATATGAAATTATGGCCAATGCGATTCACGAGTGAATATCTGGTCGATTGGTACACCTATCTCACTCTCCGAAACTATTTTCAATTAATTATTGAGATTATACTTTATTATATATGTACACACCTTTTTATCAAATGATTTTTCGAATAGAAACTTTGCATGATATTGGATAAATTAAAGCCCCCCCCAAAAAAAAAGAAAATTATAATTCTTTATAAATATGCTATTAAAGAGAAATTAAAAATATGTACAAAATATAATTACTTTACTAGTAATTAAGAAGCTAAGTCAAACTCTTTCACTATTTATGTCTGAAGATACAGTTACAATCTAGTTGTTACTCTACTTCATATATTCCAAATATAGGGCGTGTTTTGCAAAATCTAAGTGTAATTAATATCTTTTTACCTATGATGCTTCTGAGATTATATTAAAATTACTTGCTTTTTACTACTATACTTCACTAGTATGGACCATTCCCCATGCATTTAATGTACACAGTTAGAAAAAATTTTAAATCTCAGTCATCTAATTGTTTTTATTTTTTGTGGATGTGTATTAAGTAAAAGTACCTAATTATATTTCAAACAAAGACAACTTTTACTAAGCAACAAAAATATCATAATGAATTATATAAATTCATTACAGGACTAAAAAATTCATTAGAAGTGTAACATTAAGATTTCTAACTTCTAAGAATAGAAATATCTTTTATAGAGCATCCATCACAAGGGAAGAAATATAATATTTTGTATATTAAATAATTATAAAAATAATCACCGTTTGTTAAAACCAAAAAGAATAATTATAAAAATAGCATAATTAACATTAATAAAAATATTGAAAAAAATATTGTTGTTGATAATCAAAATTAATCTAATAATCATAAATTAAAATTAAAATTTTTATAGAAAAAAATAAATTAAAATTAAAATTAATACAAAAGGCAGATACTTTCCAACTCCCCATAGAAAGGGGGAAAACGTATAAAATGGTTGATTTCCCGTTTACGCTTATCATTTCACCCCCATCCCCTCGCCGACGCAGAAAAGAGAGCAGTGATATTACCGAAATGACCTTGTACAGTGTCATTAATGACATGTTCAGGTGAAAGTGAAACTGTGAAACCTCCCTCATACTTTGATAGCAGAGACATCTGATCTGCAAAACCCAAAACTCACAAATATGGTTGAGAATGGTGCCGTGTTCTAATCGTTACTTGTGTTATCCTCAACATTTATAATCCTCACCTGTTTATTTATTTACTTATTCCCCTTTTTTGCAACCCCGTATTTAAATTTTAATTTAATTAAAGTTTCACTTGTCTGTCTGCTCAGCTTTTTTATAGATTTCAGTCACTGAAACTCATAATCTTCTCTGTGCCTCTGATCTGATCCCAATTTCGGTTTTCCGACTTCTTCCACGATCACGGCCACCATGCCTGGTTTGGTATCCGTTAAAACGCCACCGGACGCTACTCCGCTTCGAATCGCAGTGCCGGAAGCTCAAACTCCACAGAGATCTGACTCCTCTAACGTCAAAACACCGTCTCCACTTCCCAAGAGACCACCTTCTCCGTCACCTTCCCGTGCCAAACCCTCGCCGGATCGCAAAAAGAAGCTCCTTGATTCCCCTAATCCAGCTCTTTCCGAGGCTTCCCTTGACAACCCCGATCTCGGTCCTTTCCTTCTCAAGCTCGCCCGAGATACTATCGCCTCCGGCGAAGGTCCTGCCAAGGCTCTTGACTATGCCATTCGGGCTTCCAAATCTTTCGAGCGATGTGCGGTCGAAGGGGAGCCCAGCTTGGACCTTGCCATGAGTTTGCACGTCCTGGCAGCTATATACTGTAGCTTAAGCAGGTTTGAGGAGGCCGTGCCGGTGCTCGAGCGGGCGATCCAGGTTCCCGACGTCGCCAGGGGTGCGGATCACGCTCTTGCTGCTTTCTCTGGTTATATGCAATTGGGGGATACCTTCTCTATGCTTGGGCAAGTCGACAAGTCGATCTCATGCTATGACGAAGGCCTGAAAATTCAGATCGAAGCATTGGGTGAGACGGATCCAAGAGTCGGAGAAACTTGCAGGTCTGTTAGTTTTCGTGCCTTTTATTATATTTCCCATTCGACGCACTTTGGTGTGTAATTTGCACATTCTCGTTGTATAAAAATTATACACGCAAGCAATTATGAATTTTAATTTCAAAGCTGGAAATTTATGTGGATTACCAAAACCCTTTTGATTTCTTAGACTTCGTTTTAGTATTACTGGAAAAACTCAACTACCTGACTTCCTCTGTGAGTATGCGTGCGCTTGTTACCAAGCGGTCTTCACAAGTATTTATAACGAGAAGTCATCAGAGCATATTTCAACTATCTTGAAAATAATCTTGAGCAGTTGCATCTTCTGGGAGATGTTTGTCACTTCCCACAATCCACTATTCTTTTGTGTTTGTTCAGTTTTGCTTTTGGTCTAAAGGCTAGATGTGCAAGAAATGTAGTAAATTGATATATTCTAGACATATATATCTGCCATTCCCCATCACCAACTTTGTCAAGTGTTTACAGACCCGCACTTGGGGATACTCGTAGCTGCAAGATACCTGTTCAGTTGTAATATGAGGCTTGAATTTTTAAATGAGCTTTCTAATTGAATCAAAATTGTATTTTATATGGCAGATACTTAGCTGAGGCCAACGTTCAAGCAATGCAGTTTGATAAAGCAGAGGAACTGTGCAAAAAAACTCTTGAGATTCACCGAGCACACAGTGAACCTGCATCTCTTGAAGAAGCAGCAGATAGAAGGCTTATAGCACTTGTATGCGAGGCAAAGGGAGATTATGAGTCAGCTCTTGAGCACCTTGTCCTTGCCAGCATGGCAATGATTGCAAATGGACAAGACAATGAAGTTGCTTCCATTGATGTCAGTATTGGGAACATCTATATGTCTCTTTGTCGCTTTGATGAAGCTATCTTCTCCTACCAGAAGGCCCTTACTGTCTTCAAATCATCAAAGGGGGAAAACCATCCTTCAGTGGCATCTGTTTTTGTACGCCTTGCTGATTTGTATCACAGAACTGGAAAATTAAGAGAGTCCAAATCCTATTGTGAAAATGCTCTAAGAATATATTCAAAACCTGTTCCTGGAACGACACCAGAAGAGATAGCTACTGGGTTGACAGAAGTTTCAGCCATTTTGAATCTGTGGATGAGCCAGAAGAGGCTCTGAAACTCCTGCAAAAGGCAATGAAATTATTGGAGGATAAGCCAGGGCAGCAGAGCACAATTGCTGGCATAGAAGCACGAATGGGTGTGATGTTTTACATGATTGGGAGGTATGAAGAAGCAAGGAACTCTTTTGAGAGTGCTGTGGCAAAACTTAGAGCCAGTGGGGAAAGGAAGTCTGCCTTTTTTGGGGTTGTTTTGAACCAGATGGGATTGGCATGTGTACAACTATTCAAGATAGATGAGGCTGCTGAACTATTTGAAGAAGCTAGGGCAATTCTTGAACAGGAGTGTGGTCCATGCCATCAAGATACTCTTGGTGTATATAGCAATCTTGCTGCAACTTATGATGCTATGGGAAGGTGATGTCATTTATAGAACATCCTTGCTTTGTTAAATAAGTGTTTCCATAAGTTATTCTTGTTTGCTGGTGGATTAAAGTAATCTTCTTCTAGTTGATTTCATCTATCAATTTAAAGTTTATCAAGGATAGTATTGTGATATGTGATAGCCTTACGAGTTCAAGTCAGCAAACTAAGTGGTGTCATTTTTTGGGTACCATATTGTTATGCCCCATATTAGAGGGATTTGAGGAGGATCCTGCCTATATAAGTGGGTGCGTTGCACACCCCACTGAGTTAGTTTTTTGGAGAAAGAGTGATAGCCTTGTGATAAAGTGGTATTAGAACTATTGAGTTTGCCTAGTCGGTGAGCTCTTCTAGCTGGCCGCCCGTGACGGGAGCATCATGGATTGGTTAAGGGAGCTGTTAGGTCCCACATTAGAGGGACTTGGAGAGGGTTTTGACTATATAAATGGGTGCACTGCACATTTCATTGAGCTAGTTTTATGGAGTGAGAGTAATGGCCTGTGATAATATGCTTTGCTTGATGGTTGCAGATCTTGTGTGTCTGTGTAAACTGAAGGATGTGACATCTCGAACACCCTCCAAAAAGAATAAAACAAAACACGTCCACTCAAAACTGGAACAGTGAAAGAAGAATTTTATGAACATGTATCTCTATCTTTGATGCTGTATTATTTTTGCATGAGGTGTATCTTCGGAAATCGAATTTGAAAGCTTTTGAATTTTGATTTCATTTAATTTTCGATTTTGAAGCTGATGATTCTGTGCCCGACTTGATCATTATTGGTTTGGTACTCATATCCCAAGACTTTGTTAAGAATCTGTGTATTGCTTGGTGGTTCAGCTGTCTCATCTTTTATACCTGGCTTCCATCACGGACATGAAGCAGGATTTATTTATTTATTTGGGTGAAAATGAAACTCGATTTACAGTACTGCTTCTAATGTTTTGTCTGTGGTATAATTTATTTATTGAATACATCTAACGTCTTTCAAATAAGTTTAGTAATTTGATGGTGCTTAAATTCTGTAATTTCATGCTGCTTAAATCCATGGTGCAAAGGTTTGGATTCTTTGATGCTGAACCATACATCTTTAGTTCCTAACATAATTTGATGGTGGTGTTCTTCAGAGTGGGAGATGCAATTGAGATCTTGGAGTATGTCCTTAAATTGAGGGAAGAAAAGCTAGGAATAGCAAATCCTGATTTTGAGGATGAGAAGCGAAGGCTGGCTGAGCTTCTGAAAGAAGCAGGCAAGACACGAGACAGGAAAGCGAAATCTCTGGAAAATCTCATCGATCCCAGCTCAAAGAGGACAAGGAAGGAAGGGGCAAAGAGGTGGCCAGGCTTGGGTTTTAGAATTTAAACTAGATTTTCACACCTATATATCCAATGCACGTTCTGTAACATAGAATATCTTGTATAGGTTTAAAGATGTAATCTGGGAGCTTTCCTGTTTCTTGTTCTTTGGTGCATTTGTTTTTCTTGGTTCATTGTTTAATCAAATGATTGTGTTGTGACCTTGTAGCTGTACCACAGAATCCCTCCGCTGTTCTCCTTTCTGGCAAGAAAAATGTTGGAGAGAATTTTTATTCGAGTGAATAAGCTGATAAGGGCCTGTTTTATTCTCTATTTTTTCCCCTTCCGTGACAAATTTGCATATATTGATTTTGGTGACATGTTATGTTCTTTCAATGATTTTCCAGCAATTAATTTTCACACGATTGCTGCATGATCTACTCATCGTCATCACTGGGACGATAAAAGCATTAATGCCTTTCATGATTTATTTCCCCCGCTTCATTTTCATTTTCTATTGAAGCGACGTCAAAATATATTAAACATTATAGAAGGTTTATTTTCAAAATTTTGATAATATCATTTTTGTGATATTTTTTTTTGGAGCGCAGCTTTTTAATGTGTATTTTTTAACGGGAGATGATCATATTTTAAATATAGTTGGCTTTTGATTGTAAGTCACTTTTTTAAGGAGAATTTAAACTTTAGTTTATTATATTATAAAGAAGGTAAATATAACTTTTGATTTCCGTATTTTATTTATATTTTGTTTTTGATTTTTATATTTTTTTTTATGTTTTAAGTTCCTACATTCTTGTTTTTTTTTTATTATTTTCGATCCCTTTATGAGTAAAGTATAGAGACATTTGAAAAGATTTAAAATGATAAAAAATAAAAGTGTAAGGGCTTAAAATATAAAAAACTGTATAAAAATAAAAATAAAACGTAAATAAAGTACAATGATTAAAAGATATATTTACCCTTATAAAAAAATAAATCCTTTCACTTGACCTAATATCTATTCAATATAACAAGAGTTTTATTATATCATTAAACAACATATAAAAATAGTAGGAATTTCTAGGCATTCCCTCAAGCCACCACTGAATTAGACATAAAAATGTCTAATGATGAAATGAATATCTACAACAAAAAAGACAAGTATATCCGCCATTATAGACATATGAAGGCACCCACACAAACACACCCACCCGCGAGAGAGAGAGAGAGAGAGAGAGAGAGAGAGAGAGAGAGAGAGAGAGAGAGAGAGAGAGAGAGAGAGAGAGAGAGAGAGAGAGAGAGAGAGAGAGAGAGAGTCACATCACTCGGACGAAGTTGGTAAACATCAACCTTGGACATGCCTCAACCTCTTAAAAAAAATTATTTAGTCAAGAGCTTTGGCATAAACAAATTGATGATGGAAGGCACAAGTGAATTTGTGTTTTTAAAAAAGGTTTTATAGACAGTATTTTTTATAATTATTTAATTTACCTGAAAAGTGAAAATGCATTTTTTTACCCTCGATTACCAAATAACGCATTGACTAATCAAAGTTTTACTGAGTTTCTTTTGGTCTTATTTTATTATATTTATTTTGTCGTTTGGAGGGTTTTCAATTGATGTCAAAATTAAAAACAAAATAAGGTTATGAAAGTTTATTGGGGTTTTCTGGAAAGATGTCAATAATTTTACCAACAAAGAATAGAAATCATCAATTTATCTAGAAAATCATCAAAATATATATGTTATAAAAATATCATTATCATAATTTATAATTCATTTCCAATTTCATACAAAAAAGTGAATAACAAACTATACAAAATCTATTCTATTGCTCGCAATGTCACTATTAAACAATACGACGGTAATAGTATTACACGTGCAAAATAATATACTATAAAAAATTGAGTATACTATATTTTTTAGAAATAGATATATACTTAGCAGTTGAAAAAAATTAGAATTAATTTAAAGTGTATTAACATCTTTTTTTTTTTTTTTTTGCTTTTCATATGTTTTATATTAAAGTATCTATCTTATGGATATAACATTCAAATTAAATCTCTCTCTGATCAAATATTTGACAGTAGGAAAGGTAAATCAGGATTTTTGAAGTTTTTATAGTAAAATTGATATTCTCAAAGTGCAACTGTTTTTTTTGGGGTAGAAAAGAGGGCAAAGGCCAATAGTATTAATTAACTAAATAGAAAGGGGGATTGAGATCCCATACAATCTTTGAGCACTAAATCCTTAACAAAGTAAGGGATACTATGAAAAAAGAAGAGGTGTTTAGTGCCTCTTTGGCAAGACAATCAGCCACAACGTTTTGAAGTTGACATTTGAGAAGTCTTAACCTCCCAGTTGCTATTGAGAAGCTTTGAAATTTCAAGGATGACAAGGTTGTGAGGGGAGAGTTTTTTGGGATCAAACTCAATAGCATCTATTAAGATTTTGCAATGAGATTCAAGCATGACCTTTTTAAAGCCCATGTCCTAAGCAAATTGTAAGTCTTTCGAACAAGTTTAAGATTCAGCCTTTAAAGAGTTACACTAACCCAAATTAAAAGAGAACCTAGCAATTCGAGTTCCTAGATGGTCTGTAATGACATCATCACTCCTTGAGCTGACTAAATAGATAGAACCATCAACCTTCAACTTAATTTAGTCTGGGAGGGGAAGTCCACATAGGATCAGTCAACTTAAAATCTATAGGTTTTGATGTTGTTGCTAGAACCTAACGCATTGAAGGAAAAGGATTTCCAAATTGCCATGAGGTGTGATATAGGTTTTCATGTCTCGGAAGAAAAGCTATTCCTCCATTTCCAAAAATGCCAAATAGAAACACCCTAGAATAAAATCCCATTCGAAATTAAGGTGCAAACCCATATTACTAGTCAGATTGGTATGAACCCAATTAGTAAGGGGATATGGAAAGAAAGTAGAATGGTACCTCAGGTGGATCACTTTAAGCCAAAAACATTGAGCAAGCATACAGTCTCTTATGATATGGAGGACATCTTCATGCTCATAATTGCACCAGTCGTAGAGTGAGGAGGTGTGAGCTCAGGAGCTTTGCCAGAGACTAGTAGGAAGTCTATTGTGGAAGACTTCACATATAAATAGATAAATTCTTTCCACTCCTTTCCATTTCCCAATGAGCGTGAAGGTAGGAGGGTGAGCACAAGGATGGTTATTCTCAATAAGAAAATAAGCACTTCTAAGAGTGAAGATTTCTGTTTGGGTAGCGTTCCAAGTCATAAGATCATTGCTACTTTATGGAGAAGGAGGAAGGACAAAGATTCATTTAAGAATAACGTCGCTAATACTTGCTAGTTTAACAAAATCCCATGAGCCATACGCGACCCAATTAGCCACTCTGCTCCGCTCTTATTCTGAAGTTAAAGGCCTCATACTCAAATATCTTTCAACTTTGCACCAGGAATAAGCCAGAAAGCATCAAAGAAAGCCACACTCAAGCCATTGCGAATTTGCCACTTCATACCATCTTTGATTAAATCGCCTTGTTGACAAATAAATTGCCAAAGTTGGGAATCGCCAGATTTGGTTTGTAAGAGGTTGACCTCATTTCAAATCATGTAGTTATTTTAGAGAACATCAACCCATAAACCATGAAAACTCATAACCAATAATCAAATGTTTATATTTTAAAAATAAAAAAATAAAATGAAAATAACTGCAAGTTGTTTCTTTTTTGTTTTTAAAAACAAAAAATAAAAATATTTTTGAAAACAATTAAATTGAAAACACAGCCAAACAAATTTTTAAAAATTTATATTTTGAAAAACAAAAAATAGTTTTTAAAAGCAAAAAATTAACAAGCCCTTAATTTCTATCACTACATGGCTCTCATCTCCATGTATCTTTCCCTCCTCTCTCTATTAATTCATGATTTTATTTTAATATATTTTATTCTTTCTGACTTATTATATTTCATTCCATTTATTTTCGAACATCTAAACAGGCTCATATTTTTCAACCCTAAAACTAGTTTGAATTGATTGAACTTTGGGGGGGGGGGGGAAGAGAATGTGTGCAATCCATATTTTTATGAGTGCATCATCATGCATATCACTGACTAAATTTGGATTCATTATTTACTTAAATTCACTTATTTAATAAACGTTTCAATTATAATCATTAGATTTTATCAAAAAAATTATCAATATATATTTGTTTTTTGAAAAATTCAAAACAGTTCTCACGATTAAAATGTCCTTCACGAGCATCATCCCTTCCAAAAATTTAGAATGGTTACTAATTTGATTTGCGATTTGATAGAGGTGAGATTTGGTGCTTTCTAAATATTAAATGATAAAATTTTTGACAACTGTCCAATTAAATTGACAATTATTTTGCCACCTGAAACATTTAATTGAATGAGTAGATTTGTACTACTCAATGAATCTAAATTCATCACTCTACCAGCTTCGTTGTGAATCTCAAATCAGAATTGCTTCCTGTTATCTTGATAGATGGTTTGGCAGACAACCTCACCCAACATTATCTCATGTTCCAAAAATTTAGTATCTGCAATCCACATTGAACACCATGTGTCATTATCCTTTTAGTTCCATTCCACCACGCTTATCATTGGCTATTCTCACTACTCAAACGCTCATAGATGGTTTGGTCTAACAGCATTGCCATTCCTGTATATTAATCATATACCCTCCTTTTCAGTTAAACGGTGCATGAACAGAAAACCGACTACAACGATATCATCTTTATGTCACACACAATAATTTTAAAAATCATATGAAAGATCTCCTTTTGATCAAATCAACAATCAATGATATATAGAAAGGAACTAAGAAAGAAGCATCATTAATTAATAATTATCGTTATTATTTCGCTTCTGTATGTCAGTCATAAGGGCGTAGCATTTGAGATTTTTAATTTCTTTTGCAGAATCATCGGCCTAAAAGAGGGGTGGGACATGATCACATTCCAAAGTTAAATCCTCGTTCATGAACTATATATAGGTTTTATGCGTATAATGATATCAAAGTTTCAAGAAGAATTGGCGTACCGACCGTATATATGCTCGCTGGATTGTGATGAGAAACTAATTTGTTGATAAGATCATTCCGAGGAATAAGCTTTCATTAATTTCCCCCTTTTTTTAGGAGGAAACTTAATTTGGATAATATAATACACAAAGAGATAAGGTATTGAGCTGGGTATTACTGCTCATGGACAGAATAAATTACGTCAATTATATATTTTAATAAGAGGCATGTTGATGCGGTGTCAGTATCAGGGTAATTACGATTTCTGAGACGATCAGAATATGTTTGATGGAAAGATGTATCA